CCCGGGGCTTAGGCAGAGATATAGCCTTGGTACTGATCAGAGGGACACACAAACACAGACCTCAAACTTCCTCTTACATTTTATAGAAATAACATTTAACCACTTGAGTGCTGAATTCTGCAGGATAACTTGCTCTCTAAACCATGTAAGGAAGTATCTACAATTTAATATATACTTTTAAATGATGTAAGTCTTGTATTTTGTAATAGTATGACTTAAATTTAAGCAGCAAAGTGGTTAAACATGCCTACCTAAATATTCTAAAGCTTTCCAAATTAAGCTGTAAACAAGTAATTTAGTATTAAAATTTTTGTTTTTTATTTTCTTATTCCTATTCCCATTACCCTTTGACCACTTGAAATGTTTCCACTTCGTCCTCACGATGTTCTTCTATCAACCCTGCTTAGGATGAGAACAAATTGAGCAGTGCCAATGGCCACGAAGAGCGCAGCAAGAAGTGAGTGTTGTCTCAGTTCTGTACTTTTGGGGAGAGGCTGCTGAGTTTTGTGAACCTGGGAATGCATGTCAGTAGTATTTATGGAACTAAAATAACAAAGCTTGGTATTTGCAGTTGCAGCAATTAGGAAGTCTTCTTTTATTTACAAATGTAGTTAAAACCCTTGCAGCTGATGTCATCGAAGTTGTGGAAACATTTAATTAACATCAGATAGAAATACAGACTTAGTATGTTCAGCATATTTAATTTTTTTTTTGTTACTTAAGCTATGCAATGGATTTTGCATTTTAAAAGGGTATTTGTTGTAGAATTTATTGTAGAATGTGATTTGAAGCAGTGCAAAGCATTTAAAGATACCAGTGCTTTCTTGAAAAGGTTTAGGGTATTGAATCCCCTCCCTCTATTCTCTGCATCCCCACCTTTGAAAACTTTTTTGAAAAACAAGAGTACAAGCCCACCTTCTTCAGCAAGCAAGCATAATTCTAGAATCTGAACACCTTCTGATGCCCCAAGCAGTCTGGAATGAAACGGGGAATTTGAGGAAAAATGCCTTATGTAAGAGTCTCTTAAATACCCCAAATAAACGGAAGGTTTTTAAGTCTGTAAAATAAATTCTGTACCTTACAAGCGTCATTTGGTGATGAGGTAATTGATGTAAAAAGACAAATTTTTAGAGTGATATTTGAGTAAGCAGAAAGCAGTGCATTTTTGTAATACACAGCTATCTTAAGAAGTCAGCATGTGTGCTCTTGTCACCTTCTGAAATCATACAGATGACATGCTGAAGGGATCCAAAGAAAGTTTTATCCCAGGTGTATGGATATTTGGGGAATTATAAGTCCAATTCCAAGGTCAGGCTTTAGTTGTAATCAAATAATCTAAAATCGATTATACCTTATTTGTGTTCTAAACAATACTGTGAACATCCTTCTCATGCTAAATCCCAGGACCTCTAAAACTCCAGCAAAAGCAGCTGCTCCCAATATTTTTAAGCCCTAGAAGTTCATTTTCATAGAGCTGCTGTTCCACATAATCTTTAAAGAACGAATTGCGCTCTTTTGTTTGTGACTCGTGACAGTGTCTTCTGTTGCTGAAGACAAAGGTGTATTTAGGCTTTGCAAGACTTCTTGCTGTGCTTTAAATCAATTAAATTATATGCAGATGATATTCTGTATCTGCTTCAGTTGGGCAAATACTGAAATAAGATTCAAACTGTCAAGAAAATCCACAGCAAAAATCAGCAAGTTAAAAAAACAACTGCAGGTTTCAGTAATTGTCAAATGATATTAAATGTCCATGTTAGTAATGAGAAGGATTAAGAATCTGCATTCTTCCTGGATGTCTGTACTGTATGTCCAGGTCAGTCCTGGTTTGGAGGCACAGTGTGGGTCTGGACTCTTGGCAGTCTTTGCCCACACAGGGGGTTCAGCTCCCTGTCTGATAGGGAGTGGCTGCAGTTACCACTTACTGGTTCTGGGCAGGAGAGTGAGCTACAGGGAGGATTTTTCAGAGCTGTTATGATGGTGTCTTAGGGTTAACTTGGGGAAATGTTGGTAAGTGATGGGTCCTAGAGAGGAGGGATACTGCATGCCTGACCATCCCAAACTGCATTACAGCAGGACGTGTGGGTCAGTGACACTGATAACACCACCCAGAAATAGAGAACTATTGGAGGTTGTGAGACTTCTGATATCGGGGTTTGATGCAGCAGCTTCTCTGTCCTTACAAAAATATTAGAGACACTGGTGGAAAAACCAAAATATTCCAGTGTTTAAAACCTAATCACAAAATGTTTGTCTTCAGAGACAAATGCTAAGATAGTTTTAATGGATCTTCCTAGGTGGAGATTGGAGAGCAAAAGCTGCTAGTGATGATTAGGCTTAGTTAGATGTGGCAAGTGAGAGACTTTTTACTTTAGAAATGGAAACTAACTAGAAGTCTCATTTTCTTCATGGCCATAGAAAATAACAGTAATGAACCTTTTGTAATCCACATGCTCTTTTTAAAAAGTTTTTAGGTGTATGAGTGACCACTTTGAAAAAACATGGTGTATGCAATCAGAAGGCCCAAAAGGAGGAAGAGGAAAAATTGAGGAACAAAGGGCGTTTCAAACTTCAAAAGTTTAGCAGCAAAATTGATTATTTTGCTGTCTTAAGTAATGGCTTGAGCATCTGTTTACCACGTGTTTTATGTATACATACTATATATTTTAAAAACTAGGGGACTGTAAGCTTTGGTGGTCTGAGGCTGAGATAGAGGGAAAAAATTCACAAATAATGCAAATGCCAAGAATGGAACAGTTGCTCACTGGTTTTCAGATATGAGGTATAGTTGACTTACAGATCTTAAAAGATTAGATTTTCTAAGTAAATGGTTAAAGCTACGAAGATCTGTAGTTTTGGCCCAAACCTGTGACAAGCATCGACTTAAAAAAGCAAGTGGCTTATGAGCAGGAGTAGCAAGTAGGGAAGAAAAACTCTTCAGCAGTGTGTTTGAGTGATGGTGGGGAATATTAACCATCCTTCCTTTCCCTCAGACTTGCGTCTTTCTATTCTGGTTGTTTTGTTTTACTTTGCTGTAAAAGTATAATTTGATCTTAGAATTTTGATACTGAGTTTAAAGTGTGGTTGAAAACCACATGAAGTACTGCAGCTGGTGTGTAGTAGATCCAACACGGGAAATGGTTTTTTAGTCCTTTTACTCTTCTGGAAGCGTTCCCTAGCAATTATGAAATTTAAAATAAAGCTGTGTTGTTGTGGACTTTATAGTGATAGAAGATTGCTGGCATGCTTAACCACCCACTTAACAAAAAAAATATAAATATTAACAGGTGGAAACTTCTCCTGTCAATGTCTTTGACATCAGGTTGTGGGAACTGTGGGATTTGGAGTAAATAACACTGAGCTATGGGCATAACCAAAGTTGTGGGTTTTTCCTCAGGAGAAAAAAGAGCAAGAGCCGAAGTCGAAGCCATGACAGAAAGAGAAGCAGGAGTAAGGAACGCAAACGGAGCCGGGACCGGGAGCGGAAAAAGAGCAGGAGCCGGGAAAGGAAACGGAGCAGAAGCAAAGAACGCAGACGCAGCCGGTCCAGGAGCAGAGACCGCAGATTCAGAGGCCGCTACAGGAGCCCCTAGTAGGTTATTTGTGTCGAGGTGCATGGGTGCTGCTTCAGTGGTGTGATGGCGAAGCCTCAATTTTCACTTTCTGCTTTCTAAATGGGTCACTAATAATCTCAGAGGGTGAGAGGTTGAGTTTGAAGAATGTCAATAAATACAGCATGGAAAAGAGGAGGACAGTAACATATCCCCCTTCTGCTGGTTTTCATTCTGAGCCAAAATGAAAGATGTAAAAGCAATGAAAGAATGTGTACAGCTGACTGGAAAACCAAATTTATCACAAAATCAAAGTAACAAGCAAGTTCCTTACTTGTCCAAACTGTCTTCAGTATAAAACTTGACAGCTTAGCTGTCAAAAAGTGAATAGTAGTCTGTGACTTTGATTGCAAACTCATAAACCCTTGTTTTTGTATTACTGAAGATTTTTACGGTCTTGCTGCTCGTAAACGCTTTACTCCGTAAATGCATATTCCCATAAAGACATCCCATGTTTATGCATCCAAACTGGAAGCATCTTGTCTTCGGAATGCCCATGCATTGCATATTTGCCCTGCTTTTTGTCAGACTTGTCTAGAAGCTGTGAAAGAACTCTTTGATCCTCTCAGATATTTAGTTTGACAGAACCTCTGCTGTAAGTAGTTCCTGGCAGTTGTAAATCAATTCTCAAAAGCCATTTTTTTCATCAGTATTTGTTTCTGATGGTTTGTATTCCCGCTCTCCCCTTCGCTTCCTGTTGCCTCTTTGCAGAAAACCAGTGAGAACTGGTGTATATGGTTGACTGTAGTTAATAACCTGAGGCTGCTCCTTGTGTCTGCTGTTGTCCAGGACTCCTCTCAGCTGTTACCAAGTCTGGGAATGCAAGGTCCCGTAAAAAGTAGGCAATTGGAAAGGATGTATTTTTTAAACCATAACATATAATGTCATCTGTGATGAAGATATCTCTCAAAGTGTTTGAGCAGACAGTGTTTATCTTCTGATAAATTGCAGGCTTGCACAGTTTTAGTACATGAACGTTTTTCTTGGCTGGATCCCAATCCAGGAAACGCATTCTCTTTTGTACTCTTGGAATGCAAACAAAACTACCTGAGGTCTCAAGAGTCTCAGTTTGCGCTAAGTCATCTGGATGTGGGCATTCTGATAATGAGAACTTACTGCAGCTCCTGGCTCTGCTGAGGTGCAGTGGCATCCTGTGCACGTGGGGGTCACAGAGCTTGTCATCCCCGCTTTTCCTTTGTCTCCAGTGCCAGGCTGGGCAGAGCCCGTGTGCGCTGCTCTGGGCTTCAGCTCTGAAGATTTCAGCAGTGCACAGTTGGCTTGTTTTCCTACAACTCTTTGCTACCTGTAAGGTTACAGTAGCTGGTTGGGTTGTGCCAGTGCCACTGTTGCGGCTCAAGACACAGAGGACCTTGATCCAAAACTTGAGCCTTCCATGTGTGAGCCTGACAGCCTCCCCTCCGGTGCGGTGGTGCAGGGGGAGGATGTCCTTTGTCTCTTCACATAGTTGGGAGTTGCTGCATTTTCCCAGCTGCGTTGGAGAGTTTTGTTCTTTGGTATTTTGTTGTCACTGGGTGAGAAGGTTCTTCAGCTAGAGAAATTTGGAAGTTCCAGTGTTCTGGTCTTCCAAAATAATTTCCTCAAGTAGAGATTGAAAGTGCAATAACCCATGCCTGTTCTAGTGCATTGAGATGCGTTATGCCAGAAAGGTAAATGATTGTGAGGGTTCTTTTTCCCTATTCTGACACGTCTGTAGCTGTTCTGGGTGATTTCTCTGGAAATACAGTGAACAAGAAGCTGAGATGGTCTGGTATGCCCTGAGGATACATGGTTGTGCTTATTCGTTTGGTAGTTCTGCTGTAGTTGCCAGATTGTTGCTTTCATTTAACCAAGTAGCATTTTAGTGTTTGAAATGGTTTAGTGGAAGACTGGTAACAGGGCAGGCACATGTATCCCAGAGGGACTGCTGTTGACTGTTGGCAGTCAGCAAGCAGTCTGCTGTCAATCACTTGTAGATCATGGATGGCGCTATTGAATAATACATATGCTACTGTGATTCCCAAATTCTAGTTTTGTCTCAAGAAGTGTGAAAGAGAAGGGCCTCAGAAGATATGAGAGTGGAGAGCTCCTAATTTCCCGTTTGTTACTCTTCAAATGCAGACACCCACCTTTAAATCTGTATGAGACATTGACTCAGGGAGACAGGAGTTTTGGAGATGAAGCCTCCTGCACCACTGGCTGCCTTTCAATCAGATAACTTTGGATCACCAGAACTGGTGCTTTCATTTGAAGAAATTGTCTCTGTATCAGTGCCATCAGCTCAGCATTTCGAAAGTAACTGCCAGAGTACTCTAGCTGGCTGGGGCAGCATGTAGATCAAAATGCATTGTGGTTTCTGTTTTATCTTATTTGTTACTCTTTCTCCTCCTTGTGATCTTTCTCATTTGCTTTATAAAGGCTCCTTTTCAAGCTGATGCCTGTAAACTGAGATGTTCTTGCTGCTGGAGCAGTTAAGAGGCATCTCAGCAACAGTGAGAAGAAAAAGTCTAGTATGGAGAAGAGAGTGCCACAGAGAGCCTGAAACCTTGGAATTTGTTAAGCTTTAGAAAGTGGTTAAATGCTTCAACTTTTTAAAATGGGGTGACTGGCTTGCATTGCTTAATGTTGACAGGGTTTTTTTCTAATGTTATTCTCACGCATGTTGTTCTGTAAGTGTTTTACAGCTACATTATTAGGTCTCTTAGTAGAAAGAACTTGACTGGGTATTCTTGCTTAGACATCTGTCTGGCAAATCGCAGACACTGCTAATGTACAGTAGAAGTCACTTAGACCATCCTGTTTCTATTCTGAAACCAAGAATTTGGACAAAGCTGTCGGGGAAAACAGATGTATTACATGAGGACTGAAAGTTCATCATGATGCCCTGGACTTTGTTAGCCAAAGTTTGCCTTGTCCAACACTGTTTTGTTGGAGTCTTGAGTAAGAATTAGCAGGTAAGAGCTGATAATTTGCTGGCTGTCTTCTGACCTGACTGCTGTTGGGCTGTGTGGCATCATGCAGGTTTGGGAAGGCGTGTCCCTATGGACTGAGGGCCTTTGGCTTATGGACAAGGGGACTCCTAGACGTAAAGATGAATTGCTCGTGACATGGTGCTGCCTTGCATGATAGCAGGAGCTGGGCAGCAGCTGTAGGGGCTGTAGGAGCGAAGCAGCTTTCCCTGAGATCTACAGCTTTACAAACAGGTCTCCTTGGAAAAACAAAGGGAAGTGCATCCTGCAGAATACTGCTGGAAAGGGATCTTGAGAAGGTAACTTGGGCTGTCACCTTGCCCTAGGCAGCTTTGTGCTCAGCCTGGGATGGCTTTAGGTCACTGGGGTTTGTCAGTGTTTCATGGAATCATGTAAGGAAGGTACTACTAATCGAGTGAAAATGGAAAAGAGATTTTTGGAGTTGTGGTGGGTCGTGCGTTTCCCCCCCCCCACACACTTTTTTCCTTTTCTCTCCCTCCCCCTTGGGAAGCTGTGCATGTATTTGAAAACTGTTACTGTGTTACTTATCAATTGTTTGTGTTTTGGGGATTCTTTTCATTAGATTTAGACAAACAAAACATTTCTTTCACCATTTCCTTAAAAACTCATAATTATTTACTGTTGTTTAGTTGGTCTGCATGTTAGTATTCTGGAATTACTGTAATTGGTGTGTCTGGCTGCATTTGAGTTGAACTGGAGAACACCACGTTCTATACTGGGAGGTGTGAAGGTGCAGGGTAGTCCCATGTTTGGTAAGAAGTTGGCCTCTGGAATCAGTACCAGCATTTCCAGGTGCAGCTTTCAGCAGTTTCCCAGATACTGGAGAACCTGAATGGATGCTCCGAGCAGTCATTTGTCTGGACTTGAGTAGGAAATGGAGTAATTTATCCTAGGCAGAAAATTCTGGGTTTGATCAATAGTGATCTCATCTGAACACGTGCCTGTGTTTTATGTCTTATTTTCTCTGTTCTTAATAAGTAGTTTCTAAATGGTCTTTTTTCTTTATTTTTTTTCCAGTGTTGTACAGGGCCATATTTCCCTTGCTTTAACCTGGCCAGCACAGTTTTGGATCTTGGCCCACTACTTCCACCTGTGTCATGACATGTTTAAAAATGGGCATCCTCCTCCTTGCTGTGGATGCTGAGTTTCACTATAAGCATTACTGCTCCACTGAGGAGCAAGAAGATGTTTTTCAGACAAATTGCCTGGCCAAATGGATTTAGTGGAAGACTTCTTAATGTCTTCAGCCCGCCGTGTCTTTCAGGGTGTTTCACATCAAATTGTAGCTACAACAGAAAGAATCAATTGTGTGCAGATGGAAAGCCAAAGCCCCAGTGCACAGCATTCAGTCTGTGCAGCAGTGCCTCTGCTCGGTGGAGATACAGGAAGAATGTTAACAGGTGTTGTTCTTTGCCTTGTATCTACCAGGACATCAAGTTGAGGGAGAACACGATGGGATGAGTCCTACTGCCCGTGTCACAGGCTGTCCCCATGTGCCACGTTACCTAGTGAGGACTGTCCTTAACATGGAAGTAAAGGGCAGGTTACAGTTTGTTCTAACAGACTCTGTGAAGCCTGGAGAACTAAAATTAGATTCAGCCAAGAGGTTGGATTCCTTCTGTGGTTCCATGTCTATATATAGGGCTAACTGCTGGGTTCACTGCTTCTGTGGTTTGGTGGCCATTAAGAACTTTAGGAAGCTTCATTGGCATATTTGTAGCACTTCAGTGGCGAGAGCTGAGACAACATTAGTGAATGTGTCCCTTACAGATGTCTGCAGGGAGCTACTTTGGTTTCTTCTTGCACCTTAAATTTCATGAAACTTTTGATTTTAAAACATTACACTTGAGCAAGTAATCCTGCCAGCACCACTTTGCACACAGCTCTGAGGCTGAGCTCCAGGCCATGAAGGTCCTGCTTTGCAATCATCAGTACATAGAACTTGATGTGGACACAGAAACTTGTGCAAATGGTTACAGCTGTAACTGTAGCTCAGAATAGTTTGCACGTACAAATGTGCCATGTGTGGCTGGCTCATAATTCACTTCCTGGAGTCCTGCATATTCTGGGGTTTTGTGATGCAGGTGAAGCTGAGAGAGGAGCATATTCCGTGCCTTATGGTCTGGAGTGCTGCATGTGTTGATATCCTGTTGATGATATTATGCATGCATTGGGTGCTGCTGATGGAAATGCTGACCAGTTCAGGTGCAAGGGTGGGTGAGCACTTGCAGTGTAATGTGAGTACAGAGGGGAAATCTTGAATTTTGGTACTCAGGTGAGTAATGTCTGTCTTTTCTTTTGCCGTAGTTCTGGTCCAAAATTCAACAGTGCCATCAGAGGGAAGATTGGTCTGCCTCACAGCATCAAATTAAGGTTTCTGACTTTTCTCTACTTTTTATTATATCATTAGTAGATTTTGATTAAAACCAGAGTGGGGTATTTGAAGGTTTTCTTCTAATCTTGTTTCTTCTTTCTTTTTAGCAGACGTCGCTCCAGGAGCAAAAGTCCCTTCAGAAAAGACAAGAGCCCTGTCAGGTAAGACTTTTTACATGTGTTGGGTGTTTTTTTGTCCTGTTGAAGTTGGGAAGGGGATGATGAAATAATGCATTAATAAAAAAATGCATTAATGCAATAATACTCAAAAGTGATACTGAAATTCATTTAGAAATCCTGGGAGAGGAGAGCATTGTTAATATGTTGCCTTCTTCCCATGTCATAAACAGTTGTAAATAACATCAGTTTGCAAAAGAAGCTTTGCTTTGGTTTTTTGCATTTGTGTTCTCAATCTTTTGCCCATTAATCCTGAATTGAATTAGCTTTTGTGCTAAATTGTGCTTAATAATCTAAAGAATGGAAAAGTACAAATGCTTCTTTTTGCTTTTCAGTATTTATTCATGTTAATTTTAGAGAGGCTGGATACCTTTGAAATGCAGGAGGTGTTTATCCATTCTCAGGCTTCTCATTTAAGGAAATTAGATTTAGATAGCTGCTAATGAGATTATTCTCTTACATTAATGCAGTTAAATTTAACCAATCTTGTTTTGTTTTTTAATGACTAGCAAACTCTTACTGAGATAATTTAGTGTAAATTTTTCTTTGTATTCTCAGTGATTAATATCTATATAATTATATTAATATAAATATGTACTCCATGACTGAAAACTCAGTCCAGGATCCAGCATGCTAGTTCTGTCCTGTACTTGACTACAAGTCAGATTTTTTTTTTAGATTTGAAGCTTCAACACCTTACAAGTGGTGTATCTAATTTCAGATAGTGGTTCAGTATTGAAATAAAATTATTCTAGTGCTTCTGGTGTCAAGGATCAGAGTAATTATTCACTATTCTTAATTTTTTTGTGAGTTAACAAGCTGAAACTCTGAGGACTGGGAATTCCATTTACATGGATGTCAGTATTGTTTATGCAGTGGCTGCAGTGACTCTGAAGTGACTGGGTAGATGCCAGATGTGAGTTTGCAAAGCCTGGTTGGCACTACTTGTCTGAGAGTTTGGACAGCTGGTCTGTGCCAGTTCACCCTGCTGGCCTTTGTATCCTCGTCCTCTCATCTCATCTTCGTGACTGTGAGCTCCACAGTGGTCCTGGTACCATTTCTGGACAGCAGCAAAATGGTATCTCTGATTAGTTTGGGCCTCTGGAGGTAAAATAGAAGTTTTCAGGCATATTTAATGCTCGCAGTTGAAACAGGATATTCAGGCGTGTTATACAAGTAAATAGATTATCATATTAATATTAGGTACTCACTTCTTAACCCTGCCTTTTTTAAATACAGCAGGTGTGTTTTTCACTATTAGACTGGGAAGTACTGATTATTTAGTGTTTCATATGCAGTCCAGAGATGAGTTAGCTTAATTCAGTTTATTTTTTAACTGAACTTTGCTCTTTCCAGAGAACCTATTGATAATCTTACCCCTGAAGAGAGGGATGCTCGAACAGTATTCTGCATGCAGTTGGCTGCAAGAATTCGACCAAGAGACCTGGAAGAATTTTTCTCTACAGTAGGGAAGGTAATTAATAGGGAAGTTAAAATTAATCTGACTACTGCCTCAAGCTGTCCCAGTAGAACTTAAGTACAGGATTGATATTTTTGAGGATTGTAAGCAAGTGGAGCTTCCTGTACCTGTGCAAAGGGGGATGAATGATGATGAACTAGTTATTAAAGGCTTTGAACATGAAAATGTAATTTCTCAGGAGTTCATTGTTCATGTGATGTGATGCAAAACATGTCGATTCAATTCTGATTCAAACAACTTCATTTTTCATATTTTCTGTCTTTTTCAGATAGATTTGTCAGTTATAGTGTAACTTGAAAATTCATTTAACTTATAATTTTGAAAAACTTTTGTCATAGACTACATTTGACTTTGAACAGCAGCTTTAGTGCTCACTTGCCTCTGGGATATGTTTGTTAAAGCTGTATGCTGCCGTAGATTTTCAGCACAATTACAAAGCCATTGGCTTGGCAAATGATCATCTCATTATTAATACCTGTCTGAGGAATGGGCTGCATTAGGTTTTTTCCTTTATCTCCAAAGTACTCCTGTCAATTCTTGCCTTTCAGGTTCGTGATGTGCGAATGATTTCAGATAGAAATTCCAGGCGTTCAAAGGGAATTGCTTATGTTGAATTTGTTGATGTTAGTTCAGTGCCCCTGGCAATAGGACTGACTGGACAGAGAGTCCTGGGTGTACCCATCATAGTACAGGCATCACAGGTAAGGAGTTGTAAATCTCATTTTTGTTCATTTTGAGTTATGCCTTTTGTGTCTTGCTGAGAAACTTAATGTTTGAAAGTTTGGTTACCATTGCATGTTTGGAAAACCTTAACAAGGATGATTATTTAAACTAATTATAAATGGACTTTTGTTTCCCATAGATGACAGGCAAATTAAAGCAACCCAAAGGGATATAAATGCGTTTTGAAGATACAGATTTTAAGCAAGTAGTAGTAAAGAAATTGAAATAGCGTTACAGAATTGTAGGTTATATTGTGTATGCTTTCCAGCATGTGTAAAAACTGTTAATTTACTAGATACAAGCCAGAATTATGCATGAAGTTTTTCAGTTTGAAGGCTTTTGGAATCTGTGTCTCTGTACTTGGTCATCATCTTGGGTTCTGTGGATTTTAATTTAAAGTCCGATGGATAGTCTGCAGATTATACAACAGCTTGTGGTCTTCTGGTGAATCTGCCTAGTTCTGATCTGATAGATATATACTGCTTATGTTAGGGTTTTTTATTAAATTTTGACAGAAGGTGAGTTTTTATTTTCTCCTTTTCTTAGGCAGAGAAAAACAGAGCAGCAGCAATGGCAAATAATCTGCAGAAGGGCAGTGCTGGCCCCATGAGACTCTATGTGGGATCATTACACTTCAACATAACTGAAGATATGCTTCGAGGAATCTTCGAGCCATTTGGCAGGGTAAATGTTAATTTGGCATGTTGTGTTGTGGTAGTTTATCTGAAAAACCTAGATTAGTTGTGGAGCACTCACAGCTTCTGCAAATAATTCAGCTTCACACCCACGAAACGTTTGTTCCCTTCTTGCACTGCTGTGCCCATAAACATCCCCAGGCTTTGGGTGCGTGGGTGGTGTTAGAGAACAGATGAGGACCTGGGTTTGTGGTGGTGTCCAGTGAATTGGAATGGCAGATCTTACAAAGGAAAGCTGAGAATTCCACGAGTACCTAAATTAAGGATCAGGGGAAAAAAATCCCCAAAACAAAACAAAAACTCCCTACATTGTATCCTGCTCCTGTGACTTGTGAATATCTTTCCCATCTGTGATTGTGAATGAGGGCCCTGTTTCACAGGTTAAAGCACAAAGCACAGGATTGGGGCTGAGGTCTTGGAATATTTTACTATCTATCAGCTGTGTCTGAGGACTTTTTGCTTAAGTTTTAGCTCATGTAAGGACCAAGAACTAGTGGTGTGACCTGTGAAACTCCGACTTGGGCCCCTTCTCACTCCTGAGCATTGGGCCCTAGTTTGCAGCATGGCAATAAGTTTTTGTAGAGAGAATTATGGAAGTGAACAGATCAAATCCAAAGTTTCCAGTGGAGCTCCAATAACTGTTAGCTGTACTGTGCCAAGGTCCCTGGGGTATTTCATTAGGAGACAGGGGAAAAGTTAGGTACTTAATGAGGAAAAAGAAGTCCATTAATGTTTAGATTCTTTTCATACTGTCTTTGGATATGAATCCTGCTTCATACATACGGTGGCAGTGCTTTTCACATGCATTATTCAGACCCAGTATGCCCATCCCTTTAAGTCTCTTGTGCAAAACCCTAGAAAATTGCTCTAGTTGATTAAATTTTAATCCACATGGCTGATGTTCTTGTTTATTTTTTTTTTTTCCTCAAGGTCTGGCAGTAGCTTTAAGGTAGTTTTAGGAGGGTTACATGTAGAGAGCTGTGAAGGTCTTTCCTTCTTATTCCATATACTCCAGTCCTAAACTCAGTTCTGTCTTCTGTGTTGCTGTCTCTTCCAAACACTACTTTATGGCTCATGGATGACTCAGCACCGTGTTTTAAATTCAGTCACTGTAAACTTCTCGGAGTTCCCAAATACCAGTAATCATTAAAATGTACAGTCCTTTCTTAAAGACTCTGGTCAGTCACGCAAACTGCTTTTCTTAGCTTGTGAAACAGTTTCTCAGCGTATGAGATGCATGACCAGTGTGTTTCAGTGAGGATCTGATGGGGTCTGTGTGCTCATGATCTGCTGGAATGTTGCATCAGGAGCAAACCTCTGCCTGGAGCTGCACTCAAACCCCTTACGTTTACCTGCTTCTGTCTCAGTATGGGAGCACCTGTCTGGCTGTCGGTACACTAAGTTGGACTTGAGGAAGGAATGAGAAACTGGTTAAAAAAACCCAGTGAAAACAGTGGTTTCACATTCACGTCTGTGTATTTGTCAGGGCTGTTTCCACGTTGTGTTTTGGTATCTTGTGGGTTGTTCCAAAATGTCTGATAATAAATAGCTTTATTCTTATCTTTCAGATTGAAAGCATTCAGCTGATGATGGACAGTGAAACTGGACGCTCAAAAGGATATGGATTCATTACGGTATGACTGGGATTGCTGGGTTTCTTAGGCCATTCCTGGGGGTAATCTTCCCATGCAGTAGTGTATCTATATATATATAACCTTGTCATGTGTATATATAGCAGCAGTCTACATTGCTACTATATATATACACACCTTATCAATCCATATTGCTGTTGTATCTAGGGAGCAGCTACTATATTGCTACTTTATCTCTGTTAGGTCCCATTTTAGAAGTGTCATGTAGAGGACACACAGCACTGGCCCTTTCCTTTGTTTCTGCCAGTTGTCTGGGTATTGTGGGTGAGCAATGGATGTGTTTAGGTGGGAATAGTTTCCTTTGGAGTCAGTGCCTGGGAAAGCAAATGCTGCCTTCTGCAGGCAAAGACACTAGTAAACACTGGCATTTTTCACAGTTGTGAAAATGATTGAATTTGAGCTTTTTGGGGGACATAAAATTTTAGAAGATGAAACTTTCAGTTGAAAACATCTCTCCTCTTTGCCCTCAGGTACACAATTTTGTGAACTTGAGTTTCTTGACTGACCTGGCAATTTGTCATGGGGACAAAAGTCTCGGCTGGGACCTCTGGCACTTGGACACAAATGAAACCAAACTAACTATATAGTTCAGACTTGACGGTTTTAACACTGATAAAATGTTTGTATGTTTATTTTGATGTTTCGCAGCATAAAGCAGGACATCTGTTAGGAATAATCAGTAAATACCATGGCAGTTGTAAGGTTACAAAGAAAGTGACTGTCACTCTTTTAAGAGAACTGCAGCCCAAGACATCTGTTGATTGCAGTATCTAGATGCTGTAACTTGAACTATAATTATGTTTAAATACATTACCTAAATATGAGACAGTAAATACCAAAATCTGTGTGTTTGGTTTAAATTAAAAATACAGAGCATATTTAAGTTAGCTTGTTGCTGTTATCTTAGAGAGTTTCTTCTGTTTCTGTAATTGTGAATGTTGCATACAGTAGAAGTGTTGCTGAATCCTGTAGGCAGTATTACTGAATTTCCCCTTTTCCAATCTATAGTTCTCAGACTCTGAGTGTGCCAAAAAGGCCTTGGAACAACTCAATGGATTTGAGCTGGCTGGGAGGCCAATGAAAGTGGGACATGTAACTGAGCGTACTGATGCTTCCAGTGCCAGCTCCTTTTTGGACAGTGATGAGTTGGAACGGACTGGAATTGACTTGGGAACAACTGGTCGCCTTCAGTTGATGGCAAGACTTGCAGAAGGTGGGTGTGATGTTTAATAGGAAATATGCAAAAAATACGCAAGTTTGCAGAGTTTGAATTAAAACCCCCCACAGAACTTGGGATAACTGCATGAAATGGTCTCTTTAATCTTTTGACTACAGTAAGATTTCTGATCCTTGTGTTAGTGCATCCCTGAGTGAGTGGCAGTGCCTGCTCCAAGGTCTGTGTTGTGTTGCAGGTACTGGGTTGCAGATTCCCCCAGCTGCACAGCAGGCTCTGCAGATGAGTGGCTCTTTGGCCTTTGGAGCTGTGACAGGTAAGAAATGATGACCTGTTTATTTTTCAAAATTGCTTTTTGCTTTATAATTTCTTGACAAGAGGTACTTTAATATGTTTTGTGATCTTTTAAAATGAAAACACAGGTATTGCAGTGTGTTTGACACACTGTAAAACGCTGCAAATCCGTAAGCAGATAACCAGGGACAGTATCACAGTTGGGATGGGTGTGATTCACTTTGCAGTATTTTTGCAAATCTGTTGTAGTTCACCTAATTCACCCCAAGCCTTCATCTCTTTATCTGTGCTATTCTCTGTGCTAATGGGGACTTGTAAGTTCTACTGCACTGTAAGTGTTGACTGCTAAAAATGGCAGGCCCAGCATTGGACGAGCGCTGACCCCTGTGAAAAGCCTGGGCTGTCCCAGGGGCAGGGAGGTTATTAGGACTTGATGTGGGACATGTCCCGAGGGTGGCAGCGGTGTTAGACATATACAATGTGTGTCCTGGTGAGGAAGGACATTGTATGTCAGGGAATGTTGTGTGTTGCTTGGATTTGGCTGTGGTTGTTCGTGTGTTCTGCAGGTGGGTATGCTGGAGTGAGGCTGAATATATGATTGCTGCTGCTAGTTCTTACTGGCCTAAACAGCAAACTGTTCAAGGGGTGTTCAGGACTAGAGCAGTGAATAACCTCCCACGGGAGATCAGGGTTTCACAGAGTGGAATTTCTTCTTTTTGTTACTTTTAGTTAGTAATAAGAACAGAGAACGTTCAACTGTCATAGCAGTAGAAAATTACTTGATGTCACAAATAACGAGATGCTGGAACATGTGAGAAAGTGTCAGGACAGGAGCAAAGAATAGGTGGCATTGTTGTTTGCCTTCCAGCAGAGTTTGTGACAGAAGTGATTCAGACTTCATAAGATAGGCCTGGATCATGTTGCTGAAGGTCAGGTGCAGTCCTATGAAGAGCACACATGTAAAGCTTTAGACAGTTGCTAGAAGAATATAATAGAGTTGTTCTAGAGATGTGCCCTTGGAAGGAAAAGGAACTGGCTAGTGAAAGGAAAATGTTGGTTGTCTGCTGAAGAAGAAAAGGATGAAAAAAGCACAGAGGTAAGGAAAAAGTGTATCTAGATCAGAAGGAGAAGGAAAGGTCACCACCACTAAAGTTAGATCACTGTTAATGCAGGTGATACAGTAGTGTGGCAGTCAGGTGTGGAAACAGGTGTAGGCAGTCAGAAATGAGAAAAGTATTTAAAAAAAACCTCAATCCTTTCCCATTTGAAACAAACAAGGCCAAAAAAATCTCACCAAGCTCACCAAATCAAGAATATGGCCAGAAATACCTGACACAGAACTGTTCAGATAGGTGGAATCAGCATGAGATAACCTGCCTATGGAGAAATAAATGATAAGGTTGAATACAGGTGTTTGAAGAAGGTGCATGTTTAGCAACTGTAGAAATGAAAGTGGTAGGGGTAGCATTGTTTATTCCACTGGTATTGTACAAAAGGAATAATGCAGACATGTGCAACTTGTAGTAACTTTGGAAAAAGATAAAGCTTTTTGCTGCCATAGAGTCATGAGCTATCCCCAAAGTGAGATTTGGTTATGGATTAAAGATCTCTTTACTCTTGTTAGAGAAAATTACTACCAGGAATTATGTCATTGTGGGAGACTTTAACTTCCCTGATACAGATTGGAGAAGAATTGCTAGTAATAATGGTGGGGCCCAGATATTCCTGGATGTGATATCCGACAAATTTCTTCATCAAACACTCACTGACTCATGAAGAGGGGATGCTATTTTAAACTCAATTTGGTAAGTAATGAAGATGTTATGGATGAGAATAGAAATGACCATTGACTTGAGGGATCACGAGTTGCTCATGTTTAAATGAAAGGGTAAACAAACAGGTCTGTAACTAAGGCTTGTGATTTCAAAAGCAATGGTTGAAGAAACAAGGCAGTAAAGTCATCTGGTCTGAGCAAATTGGGTGTTTGAACAGGCAGGATGTGAGAAGTTTCTTCTGTTCCACATTGCTAATGCTGTATTGGATCTGTATTCCACAGAAAGAAGAAAAAGCCCTGTTAGAAATGGGCTCCACACTGAACCCGGGGGATTAACTACCTCAAAAGAAATTAGGAATAAGCATACAGCCTATGAAAAATAAGAAAAAGGACTAATAACAAAAGAATATTTTTAGTTTGGGAAACAGATAGAAAGAAAATTACCTGCCAGCAGTCAAACTGAGCTAGACATTGTAAAATACATGAAAGGATAGATGAAGGTTTACAACTCTTGGAGAACAAAAAGGAAGCAGGGCTCAGGTGAATGAAAAACTACTCCCAAGGTATTTCTAAAGTATCTCATTGCCTCAGTTTGTAGTGGGTACAGTGGTCATAAAGGTTGGAATTTGAGGAGGGTAAGCTAGGAATATGTAGTAAAAAAAAAAAAATTATTCCCAAGGTAGAAGCAAAGCTAAAAGAGCTGAGTGTAAACAGTTCAGAGGAGGAAGAAAACTCCCGTGAAATGAGCGAGGGAAAAGATGCTTGAAACATGAGATCTTATCTCTGGTATTGTCAATAAACATTTAAAGTCTGTGATATTGTGTGTAGCTGGAACATATAACTCTAAATTACCTACACTCAAAAGAAAGGAATTAAAATGCCATCTGGCCAGATTCTGGTCCTGTTACTATCTCGACTTCACTCCTTCAGAAGTCATACTAAAGAAGGGGGAATATTATGACAGTATAGCAAACTGTCAGAGAAACTGCATTTCGAGGCTAACAGTCCCTGATGGAAGTGCCTTTCCTGGGCAGAGCAGCCATAGCAGAGCTCTTCTCACTGAACTTTGGGCTCCTGTCATGGGGAGTTAGTAAGCCAGAGAAGTGGGTAGCACAGGAAGTACAAGGTGTGTAAAGAAGCTGGCTCAGAGAAAGAGGGACTTTTTCCGGGTGAAAGCTGGGAAGGTTAAAGGCTGTTATTGAAGCCAAAATTCAGGTGTTGGGCTTATCTTGTTTAGTACTTACATGAAAAACAACGGTGAACAGTGGGGGTGAGGTGAGTGAACACAGAGGTGCTGTCAGTAAGAGGTTATTGGGGTGTTACATATTGTCACCTCTTCGTGGTTAAATCAAATTCCAGTTCTGTAGCCTGGGAGCTGAGCAGTGAAAGGTTGCCCAGGAGGAGGAAAATACCTAAATAGTGCAGTTTGGGTGACAGGGTGTGACCTGGCAGCTGACGCACTGCCAAGGTCAGCTGTGTTCCTACAGGCAGGACACTGAGCACCTGAGCCACACACCCACAAACAGTTCTGATCAGCCACCTTCAGGAGGGATTCAGTCAAGCTAAAGTAGGGAAGGTAAAGAATCAGGTCTGGAGACCTGAGAACTTGGCCATTATTCCCATGGAAAAAATTCCAGCAGGAAAAGGAATTTAACGTAAATAGTTGTAGCTGTGTACCCTGTTCTCTGTCTGAACATGTGAAGCTTAAAATATTCAGGCTATAGAACATTCCTCTAATGCTTTCTGGGGCAAAGTATTCCATCCTGGTGGAAGGAGCTGTCTGTTTTTGGAAGAGATTGAGATGGTGTGCTGCCCAAGAAGGAGGAATAGGTGTTATCATATGAGATCTCTGTTTGGTCTCTGTTCTCTTCACAGTAATGGCTTGGGACACTGGGCATTACCTGCAGGCTTTGGCCTATTTAAAGCCACCTGGATTTCAAAATAAACACACAACTTCGTTTTGTTTTTAGACACAAAGTGTTTGGTAGCTGTTTCTGTATTTCTGCTTTCTCTGTGCACTGAACCTGTACTCCCATCATGCCAAAGAGGTTATATACAGAACATACTGGAAAAGTTACTTAGATCTGAACTTGACAGATGTATTAATTTTAATTTTCACATATTATTTAAAACTACGTGTAGGGAAAGAGTTGACGGTAAAGAGAGACAATGAATTTGTAAATTCTGAGTGATTTTAGAAGGGAGAGGAAAGGACTATTCTTCAGTCACGAGCAACAAGAGAATTCAGTGAGCTGATGAAAGATTTGGTGATCAGCGGGTTATGTTTCAGAGGTGGTAGATAATTGATGAAACTGTTGCACAAGACAGCAGTAGCTGATTTTTTTTCTGTGTTTACAACTGTTCTGGCTCTTGGCCCTGGACAGAATTTGCACTGGTGGTATGTGCGGATTTGGGGCAGGAATTCTGGAGCATTCGGCTCTAGAGCCCCAGCTGGCCCACACGGACAAGTTCAGCTGGACATGATGTGCCTGTGCAGTTGGGTCAGAACTGCAGAGGGAGAGTGTCTGTCCTCATGGAAACTGAGGGAGTTCAGAGATTTTAAACACCTTTGTTTTCAAAAGTAACTAGGTAATTAGTTACAGATTTGGCCAAATCCATGCAGTTTCTGCAGAGAATACAGGCTAAGATAGCCTTTGCTATTATGATACTTCCACTCTATGGAGGTGAGGTTTTCTTTGTGTTCAGATCTGGATGGAAAACATGCCAAATGTAGCCAGCTCTTGTTACAGCTTGGCCTTCAGAGCTTGCTCCTTCCAGTCTTGCTTTTCAGAATGTGTTCTTAGGAAGGTATTTGGGAAGGCACTTGAGGAAGACAGAGAGAAAAAAAATCACTCCTGTTGGTGCTCCAGTGTTGTCGAGGAGAGTTTATTAGAAAGGGAAAAAATATGTTCATACTTGATGCCCTCAGGTGTTCCCAGGTAAGCTTGGAAGCTTGCTTGGTGTCTATCACTTTGCTGCTCTCTAAACCAGTGAATTAAGATGATGGTTTACTTCAGCCTTCTCCTCGTGTCTCTGTGCTAAATGGAACATTATTGAAGGGGCTTATGCTTGCAGTTCTTGAATTCTGAAGTTTGCTGTTCATTTTGAGATGTTGAGTGTTGAAGTCACGGCTAGAAAGTCTGCATTTGTTTGGTCCCATCACTTCCAGTTGGGACAGCTGTATGTTGCTAAATAAGTAAGTAGTGTTTTCTAGGCAAATTAAATATTCTCAACTCTTGAAAATGTTTTGAATTTGAAAAATACCGAAGGTTCTTTCGTCATTGTGACATCTATATGGAAAGATAGCAGGGGAAATATCACCTCATTCTACTCAAAATGAAATTTGATAACTGCTTTGAGAATGTCAGGTTTCTATAACTGTGCTTAACTGCTTTCTGTTAATAAAGATTTCAAACCTCTATTGCCTGTCAGAATTGCTGTAATTGTTTTCTCATGGAAATAAATTGTAAAGAGTTCAAGCACAGCAAAGGCAAGAAGAGGATGATAAATTGAATTAAAGGACATGGTCATGTCCTTTAAGGTGTTGTTTCTCTTTGACATACGCTTACCTTTGTGGTCATGGAATCTGTCAAGTACAGAATCTCCCAGCTGAGGAGCTGAGATTAGTGAAGGTACTCACAGCTAGAGAGGAACTGTGAGAGTGGGTTGAGGCACTTGAATAAGCTCTTAACCACAGAAATACAAGCTAAACAACCTGGCTGGCAGGCAGTGATGCTACCAAGCATACTAATTAACTTCTCTGTATTTTTCTTTAGATTTACAAACAAGACTGTCCCAGCAGAATGAAGGTAAACTAGCATTTGATGTGAGTTGTAATTAGTAGGTCTTGTTGCAGATGGCTGTAAGTGAAATGCTTGTGGTGCAGAGTTTGCCCACACTGAGGCCTTGTGTTCTGTAGGTGTTCCTGGGGAGTCATGCTGTGACTGATTTTTTGACTGGAAATCCTTCATAGCATTTGCTCTGTGTTGGTGACGTTCCCCAGCCATGTGTTAGTCCAAGAAAACGTGTGGGGTGGTGTTTGTGGGTTTAGGTGTGGCTGGGTTGGGGGTGTTCTCCTTGCTTAGAGGGGTCATTTGAGAATCAGGAGCTGGGGTTTCTGTCTCTGAGTTGTTCATTATCTGACTACACAACCCAAAATATCTGCAGTGCAGGGGGAGAGGGACGTTATTCCAGCTCCACTGACAGAAGCTGCAGCCTGTGGAAGGGCACCTGTGGGACAGTGTTTAATGATGACTGGCATGATGAGCAGCAAGAAATGACAAGTAGTAATTCCACAGTTACAGGGAAAGAGTATAAATTTATCCTGCAGTTAAATGTTCATAATTTTTGTTGTCAAATGTTACCTATAATCTGCATTTTCAAGGGACAGAAGTGCAGATACACTTTTGAAGCATAATTCAACGTGCTTAAAACAGGTTTTGAGAATTCACCAAGGTCTCTGTCCCTTGCTGTGCAGTCAGCTGGGGAGGTGCCACTCTGTCCTGAGCTGCTGCTGAGCTTCCGTGAGGAGCAAAACATTAAAGGTGCTTCTGGCATACAACTCAGGCAGACATTTTAGATGCAGGTGAAGATGCATGTGTCTCTGCCTTTTAATGTTTACATGGAAAATCTGCCAAAATCAATGTACAGGATTATCTTTTCACTTTTCACCTTCAACTGTGGTTCATATGTGCCGGTGTTGGTATTGATCAGTTTAGATGGATCTATCATTGGTAGTGTTTCCTTATGAGTTTTGCTTTCCCGCCTTCAATTTCTGTTTAGTCAGAACTGTTTCTGCCATTGCTGAATGCTGGGATTTTAAACAGATAGGAGATACTCATTTAAATTACAGCCACACATAGTGGGTTTGTAGATATGTTACTGGTATTTTTTTTCCATTTGTAGATATTTTACTGGTATTTTTTTTCCATTGCAACAGTTCTGGCTGCAGCTGCTTCTGTACAACCACTTGCAACACAGTGCTTCCAGCTTTCCAACATGTTTAATCCTCAAACGTAAGTGACCTATTGTGTGGCATTTGTTGATGACTTTTACATTTGAGAAAGAAATGCAACTCAGAATGTTGCAAGAGTGTATTTAATGGGTTTGGGCTGGATTTTGTCTGAGTGAAATCTCTGTCCTGTTTTTCCTGCCCCCCATACAGTGAAGAAGAAGCTGGCTGGGACACAGAAATTAAAGATGATGTGATTGAGGAATGTAACAAACATGGAGGAGTTATCCACATCTATGTAGACAAAAACTCAGCTCAGGTATGCCTGGTTCTGGGGGTACACTGAGCAGCTCTGTTAGCAGCTCTGTTGCTTTATTTTGTCTAGAGGGAGCATTACAAATATGGAGGTTTTCCCTAAACAGAACCTAAATTTCTTGAAGCAGTGTTGCAGTTTGTCCAGGATGTTGGTGGTTCCCTCCTGTTGTGAATCATGGTGTGTAACTGATGTGGTATGAGCAGTTTGCTGCTGCTGCTGCTCTTGCAGATTTACCCAGCTGAAGTTCCGTGGCTGAAGAGTAGTGACCAGTTCAGTTCAGGCATTTGGCTTTTCCCTTAAGCTGTGCATTTCCCCCACGTCAGGGACTTCCAGTTTCCTCTTTCTAGAGAGCCCAGGCTTCAGCACAGAGGGCCCCTGCTGCTGCAGAATTGAGGTGTGCAGGAAATGTGAGCCTCAGCCCAGGCTTGGGAACAGTTGTGGTCACTGGTGACGTTAGAGCCTTGCAGGGGACAGTCTGAGGGCCTGGAGCTAGAGCAGGGAATTCCAGGTTCATACCTGCATCTTAAACAGGTGAATATGTTTTTCTTCACTGTGTTGGCACAATCCCCAGATTAGTTACCTCTTCCCTGTATTTCAGCTCTTAGAATATATAAACTGTGGAAGGTCTGTAAATAAATTTGGCCACCTGGAACCCCTTTTATAAAGAATTCAGAGCCCAGACTGAAGTTCAGTTTTCAGATGGTCTCACAGTCAGGCTGGTTTCTACCCTTCAGACCCTGGAGGTGTCCTGTTGTGTTCCATGCTGTGGTGTGAGGCTGGAACCCACCCTGCTGTCCCAGTCTGTTTAGGTGGGGTTGGTCTGCCCTGGTGATGCACTTGGCACTCACTGACCATTGCTGTCCTTGTGCAGCTGCCACAATGTCACCTGAAACACTTTTCCACAGGTTACAGAGAGTTTAGATGGGAGCTGCAGTTTAGTATGTAAAACAGTGTCCCTGGCACCTTGTAATCTTCAAGGTCACTGCTGTATTGGACTGCTGGGAGGCAGAAACCTTTCCCACAGTGTGTTGTCTGTTACTGTCTGAGAGATCACTGTTCTCTGACAGATAAAAAGACCCAACCAACAGCCCAGAACACCCCCCGCAAAAGCCCAACTAAACACAAAACAAAAAAAATCATCACACAACCCCACCAGAAATGCACCAGCCCTCAACATCCCTCACATATGTTCTGAGCACGTGGAGCTGCAATTCTGTTTTACCTTAGCAAGTGGATTTAAAAGAAAAAACTACAGCTACTGTGTTGTGAGTTAAATGTTTCATAAAAAGGGAAACCCATTTTGTTACAGTAGCATAGATATAAAACATCCATATTTAAAAATACTGGATTTGAACCTAAGCTCCCTTGTGCTGCTCTGTTTTGCAGGCTGAGATTCTGGGCATGTTCAGACCTCTGTCCCAGCCAGACTTGCACACTGAGACTGTCCGGGCTTGGCCATGAGGGGTGATTGGTTGTGGATGAAAGGGTTGCAGTCCCAGCTGAGTGCACGGCTGGTGTACTGCACTGGGGGGTCAAGGAAAGGCACAGCTTTGTGTTGCTGTACCTCATTTTGGGGTTTAAGGAGCTTGGGTGCCTTTGCAGAGGAGGCTGAGAGCAGAGCTGTGTGTGTTCATTGCTTAATGCCTTCATCACCAGCCCCTGAGCTCAGGGTCACCCCCTGAGCAGGGAATGAGCTAGATCACTGTGGGGAGAGTTAGGACAGGCTGGCAAAGGCTGCTACAGGGAAGTCTGTTTCTTAATATTTTCCTGAAAAACCTCTTTCAGCTAGAATCTGATCTGGTTCAGGAATTACTGATGGTGGTCTATTTTTAAGCAGGCAGCCAGAAAAATGCCATGCATTACTGTGGGCATCTGTGTGCCTTGGAGTTGTTGGATGTGACTATTGCAGTTCTCCAGATTAGGGAGGCACAGTGCTTGATTTACAGATGGGGAACTCCAGGTATCTCTGGCCAAGTTCAAAGATCAGTCTGTCATTCACCCTGGGGACCATCTCAGGCCTCCTGCCCTGCTGGGATGGGGTTTTCCCTTTGTCTCAATCCTTGTTCAAGAAAAGACAGATAGATGCTGAAGTTCATGTAGGAGAATTTTTACAGTATCAGTCTCCCTTGAGGTGCTGTGTGTTCTTCCTGGCCTGGGGAATGGGGCGTGCTTGCTCCTTGTGGAATCGGGCTGGGAGCTCAGACCAGGGAGAGAGGGATCTGTGGCTGAGGTCAGTGGCTCACAGCCCCTGGGGGCAGCCACACCCCGTGTGCTGTCCTCTCTCACAGCCTTCAGGGCCCCTCTAGAGGGCTCTCAGTGAGAGTGGATGAGTGCACGTTTGGGCTGTCTTGGAAAATCCTGCTTAGAAAGATGTGGTGCTGCCTTAACTGTTCCCGTGGGGCGGTGCCTGTCAGGGCACTGCCCCCTGCCCCCTTCTCCCCTGTTCCTTCTGTCACTGGTCCATGCCAGCGGGGCAGGTGTGGCCAGGGGCTGGCTGGGGCACAGCCCGTGGACGTGTCCCCTCCTCACAGGCTGCCTCGTTGTGTCTTGCAGGGCAACGTGTACGTCAAGTGTCCCTCGATCGCCGCTGCCATCGCGGCCGTCAACGCGCTGCACGGGAGGTGGTTTGCAGGTGGGTGTTTCACGGGCACTTCTCTACTCAGTCACCCCTGGCAGAAATGCCCAGCCACTGATGGTTGTTTTTGTTTGATCCTGTGCTCAGGTAAAATGATCACAGCAGCGTATGTACCTCTTCCAACGTACCACAGCCTTTTCCCAGACTCCATGACTGCAACCCAACTACTGGTTCCCGTTCGACGATGAAGATTAATTTAGTCAGTTTTGTACATAGGTATTTTTTGGAGGAAGATTGAGTTATCTTTTATTTAGATAAAACTAAAGGAAAGGATTTAATGTCATTTTGTGTACACTTCCTGCTACCTTTAAAAATAAAACGAAGTAAGCAGAAATGCAGTGTGTTCATTCTCCCTAACTAGCATTTCCACTGTATACAAAGCTGTTGACTTCTTGTTCTGCCTTGTAATTCTTGTACATTGACTAAGGTGATCCGTAGGAACTGAGAAGTAGCTCATAGATAACAAGTTCTCTGTAAAAGGCAGATGGGACATAATGACATTTTTAATGTTTCACGAGCCTTTCTTTTAATGCAGCAAAGACATTTTACATTTCACTAAATGTGGGTGATCTGCTCAAGGGCAATATCGGAGAGAGACTGGATGAAGGGACATATTTAGTGTTTTGTACAAATGAGAAATCCAAAAGGCTACTGAAGGCTGACTGCGGCAGCTACTCAGCTTGCTTTGTGCTGAATAATTGGTAAGAATAGAAGGATTGAAGGGTTTTATTTCTTGATGGTAACTTTTGATTAATGTATCTGTAAAAGTTTCTTTGTAAATACTGTGAGGTGTGTCTAAGTTTCCAAACAAAACGATCTCTGCATTTCCGGATGAGTTTCCACGTGTGCAGTGAGGCAGAGCTGACAGATTCCAGCCAAGGCTGAAAAGGGGTAGGAAATACAGAAACGTGTTTTGTTCTGGTTGCATATAATCTTTGCTCTTTTTAAGCTCTGTGAGCTCTGAAATATATTTTTGGGTTACTTCAGTGTGTTTGACAAGACAGCTTGATATTTCTATCAGACAAAGACTTTCATATTGCAACAATCTTTGTAAGAACCACTCAAATAAAATTCTCTTAAAAAGGCCTTCATGAAGCTTTATTTCTCTGCTCTCCCACTGTGACTTAAGCAGTGTGTACTGTGGCCTGCAAGTGAGTGATGGGTGCTGTGCAATGGTGGATGTCAGGGATACCACTGCAGGTATCCCAGGTGGAGATTCGTGGGATACCACGTGCTCAGAGCACATGCAGGAGCTGGTTCCTGCTGTTCCCAACCCTCTGCTCCGTCACCGTAGTTGTTGAGGACCTGGGCACAGCTCACCTTCCTCAGGCCTGCTGGAAGTTCATCCCAGAGCTGCCTCCCTCCTGCCCACCTCCACCCCCATCATTCACGCGTGGGTGGCAGTCCTGGAGCTGGAGGAATCGGTTACACTGGCTTTCACTCTGCTTTCTGGAGGGAGCCTCCCCTGTGCTTTGCCCTTCCGACTCCTGTCCTGCCTCCCTGGCCTTTCTAACCACTCAGAAAAACTGTTTGGCCAAGGTAGAGAGTATGGAGTGAGAACGTTCCTCCTGGTGGGGGAAGGCTCGGCAGGCAGTGCAGGGGTCCTGCTGCTGTTCCCAGAGCACTGGGATGACCGGCTCTCCAGCAGGGCTGTGTGTAGCTGTGCCTGAGCTGCAGTGGGGCAAGGGACTGTCCTCAGCAGTCCAGGACAGGGAGCAGGTGACTGGAGGGAGCACAGAGGTAGGGAGGGACCAGGAAGACACTACAGGAGGGTCTGGGGGTTGGTGACACAGCTGCTCTCTGGCTGTGCTTGAGCTTTCTTTTTTTAGTGTCCAGTATTAGTCCCTCAGTGCCAGCTGGAGGTAAAGGAGCTGTTCTGGGCTGAGCCCACGGCAGCAGGCTGAGAACAGGCTTTGAGTGCTGGATTGGTTCCACCTTAAAAACAGGGAAAAAGGCACCTGCACCAGGTCAGGGCTGTACAGGTGCTGGCTCAGGCAGTGCTGCCACTCATCTGTCTCCTCAGAAAGAACTAAGGCAGGAGCAGAAAGAAGCCTTGTTTCAAAAGGCAAGTACTGGCACATTGCAACACCAGCCGCCATTTCCTAGGTCTGCTGCAGGCAGTGCTTTGGGGCCAGGGAATGGTGGGAGGGATTCCCAGCTCTCCCAGGGAAACACAGCACACTGTGGGCCTGCTAAGGCAGGTTGTAGGAAAAGGCTCTTTCTGGGAGCACAGCTCCTACAGCCTGCCCGGGTCCTGGGGTCCCCACTCTGTGAGGGTACCTGCCCTTTGTCACCTGGAACTCAGAAATGGGACCGGCTCCAACCCACCTTTTTTGCAAGAGGTGAGAAATTCAATCATTAATCTGAATTAGCCACCCAGTAAACTTTCCTAGACTCAAGAATGCTTGAAAGCAATGGAGCTGCTCCACATCCACATGGGGAATGTGAGCTGCCCAAGTGCCAAAGGGAGACCTGTGTATGCTGTACTTACACTGGTGAAACAGGAACTTTAATGCAGTACCAAGGATGATTAATTCTCATTGTCTTGGGAGTAAACGATGAGAGGAAAGTAGAACTTTAGTAAAAAGCATGTTTACAATAGAGCATGGAGGGTGGGGCTTTGCTGTTTCATGAAGAGCTCTCACTTCCAGGTATCTAAAGATTTTATTATGGTACAGAGGAGGAATGGCTGGGCAGGGGCACTCTGGGATACATCCCAAAGTCGAGGCTAGCAGCGTATCCCCATACCAATGGCCATGAATGTCCCAAACGTCCCACCGCTTTGCATCATCGTTTTGCCAACTCCACCCATCAGCTCTCGTCCTCTCATGCCAATCCTGAGATAAAGAAAACCAGGGAATTATACAGAAGCTGAAACCTGACATATCACAGACAAGCAGCAGAAAACATGGGAGACAACCAGCTCATGGTTACAAATGAGCTAAATCAGCCTAAATCTGTGCAGTGGTACCTCTCCTACCCCCGACACTGTTTGTGGTGCCCTGTGCTTGAGCTGCTGCTTCAGCTACTGCAGGGGCTCCTGAGTGACCCTCACCCGTGGCCCATGTGTATTTTTTCCTGCAGTGGAACCCTCCTGCCACGCCACAGCAAGAACAGCTTTGCATCTTAGTGCCCCAAATACCCTTAATATGGGAGAAAAAAAATTGTGCTGTCCAAGTTTTTGACTTGCAAGAGAACAAAAAGAGTTGTCTGAACTATTGTATTGCCATCCTGTCTGGATGCAATGGCAGTGCCTTTAATACCACCAACTTAAAATTAACTTCCTATTTACTACTGATTGTGTTTTTAATATGAGAGACACCTGAAAGGCGTAAAAGTGTCCAGAGGTGTTTCTGGTCTCCAGTTCTCACCTACCTGAGGTCTGACTGAAACAAAAAGAATTGTTCTGTCTCAAGAAGCTCTTGTAATATTTGGCTTTTAAGCACTGCAGTGACTTTAGGGTCTAAAGAATTTCATGCACTTGATTCTTAAAACATGAGATTTTCCCTCAGAAATGTTACAGCAGAACCACTATAACTGCTTCTTCTAAGTCCCCAAAATCTGTATTTTCTGCCAGCATTGTGATGCTTAGAAATACCCTCTGGGAACTCAGATCAGAAAAACATCAAACTTCCACTGGATTAGACTTCATGCCTTTTCATCCTGTGTTTAATCACAGGTGAAAACCCTGGAGCAGAAGGAGTTGTGGAAAGTATGAAGAGCTGACTGCAGTGGTTCCTTCTCACAGGTGATGTGCAAAGCCAGTCAGCAGTGCCAGAGTGAACCCAGAGCAGTGAGTGTGGTGTTTCCATGCTGGTGAGCCCCAGGGAAGGTGGAATGTTGTCTCTCTCTGATGCACAGTGGGGCTGTGCCAGTGCCAGCCACGCTCTGCCCACACTCCTGAGCTCATACTTGGGGTCAGTTCAGTAACTGCCCCCGTGCAAAGTGACCACAGTGCAGACACTGGGAGCCTGCAGAGCACCTTGGGAAGCTTCAGGGCCAGGAGAGGGCTGCACACACCATTCATCCAGCTCCCCCCAGAGCTGATCCTCCACGGCCTCAGCTTCCCAACAGGTGACAGGAAAAGGTCTGTGGAACTGTGACCTCCTGGCACAGGGGTGACCCAGAGGTGACACTCTGCCAGGGCCAGACTCGCCTGGTGGATGCCAGGGCTGATCAGTGTGGCCAGTCTGGAGACCCTGACAAACTTCCACCCACGGACAGCACAGGCCCAGGCCCGGTCCCTTCCCAGCCCCCCAGCAGCACCATTTCGCTCTGGCTGTCGCCCTGTCACCACCCGCCTGTGGCAGCATTTCCTCGGCGTACCTGAGGCAGGAGAACGTGCCGAACAGCGCCCCTGCAGCCATGCCCACGGCAAAGCCCATCATGAAACCCATCTTTATTCTGTCGAAGCAGCTGGGCTGCGACTGCCCGTACGGGCCCACGGTCACAGGCATCTAGAAAAGAACGGACAAAACCCACAGGCTTTACTGCTTTGTGTAACGGGCCTCCACACCCACCGCGGGCCGGCCCGGGCCCGGAGCTGCAGCGCTGTGCCGGCTCCCGGGCCTGACTCCCCGCCCGCCGCGCAGGAAGGCCGGGCAGGGACTGACGGCCCCGCTTCGCCCCCAACCAGCTCCTGCGAGCGCCGCGGGGTTGTCCCGGGGCCTCCCCTGTGCCGTCCCCCCGCGAGCAGCGCCCGCGGCCCGGCCCCGGGGGCACAGCGAACCCGCCCTCCCGGAACCCGAGGCCAGGGCGGGGGCTCGGGGCGGAGGCGCCCCGGGAGCGGCGGTCGCCGCTCCCCGCCGGGCCAGGAGCGCGGGGGTGGCCCGTGGGCCCGGCGGGGCTCCCCCTCAGCGCCCCGGTACCTCGCTGGGCCGCTCCGCGCTCCGCCCGGCCCCGCTTCCGGCGCGCTCCTGACGGAGCGGAAAGGGCGGCCCCGTGCGCGGCCCCGCCCATGCGCGCGCCCGCCCGCCATGCTGCTGTGGCGGCGTCTGGCGGGGCTGGGGAGCGGCCGCGCCCCGCGGCGGCTCCGGACGGCACCGGGACAGGCACAGACACAGACACAGACACAGCCGCAGGCAGAGGGACCGGGACCGGGTAAGGCCGCGGTCAGGTAGACCCGCTGTCGGCGCAGGGGCGGCCCCGCCGCTCCCGCGCGTCCCTGACAGCAGCTCCCTCCGCTCTTCTCCCCTCAGGGCGAACCGGCGATGGCGACGGCGCCCTGCGGCCGCTCTACATGGACGTGCAGGCCACCACCCCGCTGGTACGGTCCGCGCCGAGCTCGGGCAGCGAGCGGGGCCCGCGCTCACGGCTCTTCCTGAGCGCTCGCCTGTGTCCCGGGCTGCGGGGAACAGGGACATCGGACACCGGCCGTGCCCCCACACCGGCCGTGCCCCCACACCGGCCGTGCCCGCACACCGGCCGTGCCCGCACACCGGCCGTGCCCGCACACCGGCCGTGCCCGCACACCGGCCGTGCCCCCACACCGGCCGTGCCCGCACACCGGCCGTGCCCGGCGCGGGGACACGGGGCGGTCCGGGCGCCCCCGGGGGCCGGAGCTCCGCCGGCAGCCCCGGGCGCGGGCAGGGCGGGAGCGCGGCAGGGCTCACACCGACCCTGCGGGAGTGGCGGCGGCTGCGAGAGGCAGCAGGAGGTTAATTCAACCAAAATACCAGCCTGCCGTTTCTCTTGACACTTGTATTTCTTCTGCTCAGAAGAAAGGCCGTGTTGGATGGGACTTGGAACGCCCTGGCCTGGGGGAAGCTGTCCGTGCCCATGGCAGGAGGGCGGAACAAGACGAGCCTTCCAAGCGGTCTGTGGTTCTGTTTGCTCAGATGATCCCGTTCTGTGATCGCCTCAGTGCAGATCAAGGGCACAGAACACAATTGCCAGACACTGGTGTTGTCCATAACGTTTAATAACCTCACGTTTTTGAGATCTGGCCTGAGCTAAAGCAAGACACTGCGACAGAAGTGCTGATCCTGCAGTAGGGGGGCATGTCTAGAGGGGACAGAGATGCTTTTCCTTCTCTGTTTCTAAGGCTGGGTGTTTTGTGTCCTGCAGGATCCCAGAGTCCTGGACAGCATGCTCCCATACCTGACAGCCTACTATGGCAACCCCCACTCCAGGACCCACGCCTATGGCTGGGAGAGCGAGGCTGCCATGGAGAAGGCGAGGAGGGTGAGTCTTCATCTTCACAGTCATGGTTTTCCTGCTGGCAAGGACATTCAATGTCAAAAGAACATCAAAAACAATGAAGGAAAAAAGCCTGTTCTCTGTGGGCTGGATTTATCAGCTTCTTCTTGGCTTTGCTTTAGTAGATTTCTTTCAAGAAAAAATAGAATCACAGAATATCTGGAGTTGGAAGGGACCCACGAGGATCATTGAGTCCAACTCCTGGCCCTGCACAGGACCATCCCCAAGAGTCACACCCTGTCCCTGAGAGCATTGTCCAAACCCTCCTGGAGCTCTGGCAGCCTTGGGGCTGTGCCCACTGCCCTGGGGAGCCTGTTCAGTGCCAACCACCCTCTGGGGGAAGAACCTTTTCCTGAGATCCAGCCTGACCCTGCCCTGGCACAGCTCCAGCCGTTCCCTCAGGCTCTCTCAGTGGTCACAGAGCAGAGGTCGGTGCTGCCCCTCCGCTGCTGCTCGTGGGGAAGCTGCAGAACCCCAGGGAGGTCTGACCTCAGTCTCCTCCAGCTGAACAAGCCACGTGCCCTCTGCTGCTCCTCATGGCCCCTCAAGGCCCTTCACCATCTTTGTAGCCTCCTCTGCATGTGCTCTTTAATGGCTTTATATCCACACATGGAGGCCCCTCAACCTGCCCCAGGACTTGAGGCTGCCCCAGTGCAGACCAGAGCAGGACAGACCCCCCTCACCCTGCTGGGCCTGATGCTCCCCAGGACAGGGCTGGCCTTTGGGGCTGCCAGGGCACTGCTGGCTCCTGTTCCACCTGCCTCAGCCCAAACCTCCGACCCCTTTCCCAGAGCCTCTCATTCCCCACTGTGTCCGTACATCCGGGGTTGTCCCATCCCAGCACTTGCCCTAACAGTGAGATTAGAGCAGCTGAAGTGGCAGAACTCAAAACTTTAGACAAAGATGCCTCAGGAATTTTGGTTTCCTGGGGTCACAAGCGTGATGCTGCAGTGATTGGGCTACTCCATATTTTATCACTCTCCTAATCTTAGTGTGGGTCTTTGTAATTTTTTTTTTTAAGTAATGTGTAATGGGCTTTTGTCTACTTTTTATCTCTTTTAGGACAGGCTACTCCTTAATACTACTTCTGTAATGACCAGCTGTAATCCCTTTGAGGCTCGAGGGGGTTTTCTTGAAAACATTTTGCTTGTATTTTGCTGTGGTGGATTCACTGTATATTTTCTTAACAAATCGACATTGTATTTCTTTTTAAACAGCAAGTTGCAGATTTAATAGGAGCTGATTCACGGGAAATTATATTTACCAGTGGTGCAACAGAATCTAATAATATGGCAATTAAGGTAAAAGGTTTATACTGATAGTTATTTATGGTGTTAAAATTATGCTCTTAAGAACTGTATGCATCTTGAACAGTTTAAATGTTAATATGTTGGAGTAGGTAGCAAATATTTGCATTCCTGGATTTACTCCTTGTGATCCTCTGCTACAACTTGGAGGAAATACATGGAATGTTTTAGTGCACAGGATGTGTTTTTGAGTGTAAAATATTCAATGTTTATCTTACATGCACCAAATACAACATTTCTCCTCATGTAATTAAAATCTTTATCGTGAAATACAGTGGACATGCTGATTAGGAACTTTTTTCTGATGAAGACTGGGTTGCGTTTTAACCTTTAGTATGTGGTTGTTCAGGCTTGTCAGTGTATATGACTCCACATAAAATGTTTTTTAAAAAGTATTTTGATTAATGACACCTGTAACTTCTGTCAGTTAACATTTTCACAGGTTTTTTGAGAAACGAGTTGCTTTGAAAAATGAGTGCTGGTGGAGACACGTAGTGTGGATTATGTGGATTATTACCTTTTAGATTCATGACTTTGGGTCAGACAGGAAAGATCAAAATGAATTATATCAAAGTATTGATTTCTTGTTTCCAGTCATGGCTTTCTTCAGTGGTTTAATGGCCAATTTCTTGTTCACGGATTGTGCCTGACAGGGTGTTGCAAGGTTCTATAAATCCAGGAAAAAGCACATAATTACTACACAAACAGAGCACAAGTGTGTGTTGGATTCTTGTCGTTCCTTGGAAACAGAAGGTTTTCGGATCACGTATCTACCTGTTAAAAACAATGGGCTCATAGATTTGAAGGTAAGTTGTTACTGACAGACAGAAACTGAAAATAGAAGTTGTTTTTCCTTCAAATTGATGCTTAAGAGGACCTTGTGTCCTTTGTGACCTGTTAGTCACAACTTCTGTCCCTCTGAATCTTTCACCAGGAGCTGGAGGCTGCATTCCAGCCAGACACAAGTTTGGTTTCTGTAATGACTGTGAATAATGAAATAGGAGTAAAGCAGCCAATTCACGACATTGGTAAGTACTGTGTAGCTTTCAGATGCCAGCTGAAGTTGCTTCTGCTTCATTTTAGTTGATAATTTCGTCCCCAAGTGGTACTGATGCAAAAGATTAGGTGTAATATACTTAAGGAATAAATAATAATTTAAGTATTTAAAAAGAAAAATATAATGTAAATAAATAAATCTGCTGGCCCAAATAAAAACTGATTTTAAAAGGGAAATGAGAATGCTGAAACACAGGAGGACAACTTACCCTGTAAAAAGGATCGTGTTGAACCTCCTGTGCAGAGGAGAGGTCTGGGGTGGAGCTGTGCTAGGTGTGGATTCTGGGGAAGATGAGTTGTGATGTTTTTGATGACAGAAGTAAATAATATTGAAGTTCACTGCCCATGAACAATGTGTTATTTTGTTCCTCAGTGTATTTTAGGTCTGGATGTGAAAACATTGGTGACAGGCTGAGGTGGTAATAATGAGCATATGTGAGGACTAGTGACAATTCTGAGAACATTTTCAAGGCTGAGTGTTGCAAAATGTGGAGAGTAGAGGAAAGGGCATAAAAATACTTGGCAAATACAAATGTGAAAGTAAAGCTAGCTTGTACTGGGCTGGTGTTGAGAAGAAAAAGAATCAAGAAAAAACCAATTCTGTCCAACTGTGGAGTCATCTCTGTGTGGAAACTTAGATGTCTCATGCAACCATTTGTTCTTAAACTTGGTAGGTGTGAGTTTGGAAACAATCTCACTTCTTAACAGCAGTAGACTTTTTAACTTCTCAGCTGAAGCAATTCACCATAGTCTCGCCTGCATAAACCTGTGCCAAAGCATCAGCTGCAGTAGCCCCTGCACAGCTTTAGCCACTTCGCTGTAAAAGAAACATCACAGTCCCCATTTCTTCCTTTGTCACCTCAGAACTGGTCCCTCCTGTTGGTTTAGATTCATTGATGCTTTAGATCCATTGTTGGAATCCTTGGGATCATGGCAGTCAGACAAGGTAACGTGGGTTTGCCTTGGTGTCTTTGTTACAGGTGAGATCTGCCGGGAGCGGAAGGTTTTCTTCCACACGGATGCTGCACAAGCAATTGGTAAAATTCCTATGGATGTCAACGACATGAAAATTGATCTGATGAGCATCAGTGGCCATAAAATTTATGGGCCAAAAGGTACTCACTGAAGTGCTCTATAGGGAATTGTTTCCGTGCCTAACTTAAGCTAACTGCACAAGGTGTGCAGTCAGAGCTGTTTGTCATGGTGACAGTTACTTAAGCTGTAGAAAACTGTTCTAAGGCTGGTGTTGGATGGGCTCTGGAGCAGCTCAGGCACTGCTGCCAGCTTAGAGCTGCAGCCAGTGGATCTCCAGGGCTGATGGGTTGGGGTGGTTTCACCGAAGAAGGAACTGTGGTGTCTAATGGTGGCAGCATTGGAGCAGTGCCTTGTCAGGAGCTTGGTGGGAGGCAGAACTGATGCTGAAATGGTTGAACTGAAATCACTGGGTTTTAGAGCAAAGTTTAGACACAAATGTTACTTGCAATGAGGAGACCAAAAGATAACTGGAAAGTTTAAATTCTTAGTGATTTTGGTTGTTTTCTACTTCCAGTGGCTTCTTTCCCACAACTCCATTTGTGCATCTTCTTTG